GGCACAGCGGGCCGGACGAGGCGCCGACCAGTCGAGACAGTCGGCATCGGACCGACCGAGCGGTCGCGGCTTCGAGTCCCGCCTCGGGCGCCGTGCTCGAGTCGAGAACGTCGAGTGGCCGGCCGACGCCGCGGAGGCGCAAGTCGACGCCGTCGTTGCGGCTGGCCGTGCGCGGCTCGGCCTCGTTCGAGGCCAGTTGCAGTCGCGCCGTCTCCATGTCGGCGCCGGCCTCGGTCAGCCTCTCGCTTTCGGATCGCAGCCGGTCTGATAGGATCTTCGGCCGACTCAACCAGCGTCGCTACCGACGCCGACAGATCAAGGGCAAGATGCGCGCCCTCGCGGGACACTCGCGTCTGTGGCCAAGTCCGGAGGGCGACTGCGAACCGTCTGTATCAGGCAGATGCAATGAATAGATAAAAATATTTGTATAGTACTCTGCTGCCCTTCCAGTGCCTGCACTTACCCCCGCAAAACTGCAAGACCACCGACTGACCCAACCTCCTTTCATTCATCCGACGCATGGCAATCGAAATGTGTTGACCCTACACTCGGAAGATATTCTATGAATATGCGATGTATCTATTCAAATCAACTATTTTATAGACCATATTTTTTCATATGATAAAGTTTTGTTTATTTGACTTTTACTGGTGAGAATCCTGTCTATCTTAGCGTCAAAAGTTGAAATATGCATTGTTGGGCCTAAAACAAGCTATAAACCAAGTCGAAACACAAAGGGAAGTCACCCTTTTCCCATCTTCCAAGCACGAGTCAAGCATACTCCACTTTGGGCATCCTCATAACTTCGAAACGGCGGCTTTACTGGAACACTTATGCTGATGCTGTTTGCGAGGAAATCTCCTCCGACTTTGGTGAAAAGGTACAAAGTTTTCGTCCTTCATATGACGAACATCATCAGAGCAAGGTATGATCATTACAACCAAATTCAAGTTTTCTTGACCAGTTAGCTTGAATTTGGCTGTAACGATGCTACCTTACTCTGATGATGTTCGTCATATGATGGACTAAAGTTTGGCACTCTTCCACAGGAATCGAAGGAGATTACCTCGGAAACAGTGCAAACATAAATATTCCAGGAATCCGCCTTCGTCTTCTGGTGGAATCGACCATCGAATCTCTTCAGCAAACATATTTCCTTAAGCCCTAAAATCTCCTACTAAAATCCCTAAACATATTATTCGAAAATAGCAATCGGGTCTACTTTAAAATTATTTTTCCAAAGTGACAGAACCATTCAGCCTCCAATAATGTTTTCTACTGTCCCAACTTCTCTGATGAAAAGATTATGCTTCTTGATTTTGGGCTTGGATTGTTTCGTCTACCAGTGAGAAGTAAACTTTTTACAGATATTCGGTATGCTGATGATTTGAAAGTAACAGTGATTCTTGAAAAGGAATCGCTCAAGACCATATAAAGCACAGCAGTTCTGTTTTCTAACAATAATATGATGCCAATAAATCAAACCCGGATTTTCTTTTAAAAAATCTTTTTCATCCAAGCTGACTTGAAGGTTCCGTTTCACTCAGGCCTCATCAACACCTCCATTAAGATTCGAAAACGGGTGTCTAGTATTTTGGAAATAGGTTATTAATTGACAACACAGCTCATATAATTATGGCAGAAAACACCACTCTCAGCCCTTACATCACCTTGAGCGACCTAGGCTGATCAACTTCTTTTCATCCCTTGGCTAATTTTATTCCAGTGCTTCTTTTAATTAAGTATCGCCTCACTATCAACTCTGTTACGGTTAAGTTTCCATCATTCTCTGAATATGTGCTGATAATTGCAATAAATGAGTTGTACCGATTGATGCAAAATCTAAACCATGCAAAATGAGTGTATAAAATTGATTTTTTTAACTTTTATCTTTGCTAAACGAGGATTCATGACCGGACCGACATTTATATTATTATATGCTCAGAATATATATTAAATTAGAAGTTGTTTGACCATGTTTTCGCAACTTGGTCATATTGGCAAGAAGACCTAAAGGAACTTGATGATTTCCAGAGTCGGACTGTGAACCTGGTACATTCCCAGACCTATCGCCGGCATCTTAGTCGGCATCGGCAGTGGGTCTTGTCATTCGTAGCACCACACAACAACTCGTCAAAAGGACAAATGAAGTCGATCCTTTAATCAATTGTCTGCTAACCATCTGTAGTATCTATCCTTTTATCCTGGGCTATTCACCTTTCCTATATCCTCCTATCACCCTTTCAATATCACTATTTCTTAATTGTTTATCTAGGCCTATTCACACGCCCCGCTGCTTTCCTCATCCCTCACAGTGGGCCAGCAGTGTTGATCCAAGGCTGCGATTTAATCCACAATCCTCTCCCTTCCGGTCCCCTCTTGCTCCGTAGGATCCTTCCCTTGTCTGCCTGTTTCAGTGATTTCACTCCATCACTACCACCGTATCCGTGCTACTAAAGGCGTCATTCTACACTCTGCCTCAAGCCTTTGATAGCACACATTCACCAGTCGTACTGTGCTAGTCCGTAAAGTCTGGAATCCCAATTGGCATAGCAACCTAACTTGACGCTGCAGATTCCCTTATCAGTGCGACATGTGCACCAAGTAAATTTCGTGGTCAAG